ATACTGTATTAATCTGCATTTGTTTACATGGCACTTAAAAAATGTTCTCTGGACTTCCTCCCCTCCAATTCTATTTTGCTTTGCTTCTCCAACTAGATTGTAAGCTCCATGAGAAACTCAATCTGTACTCTATGGCATCCAGTACTAGGGTTTGCCCTGGAAAGGTTGAATGAACAGTGCCTTCTTCCCATAGCCCTTAATACTGATTCCCCCAAACCCAGGAATCCAGTGCTGTTTATAGATGCATGGGGTATATATGGCTCTTGATTTCCCCATCTCCTCACTTCATCAACACTTACATGGACCATGAACCATTCCCTTCAGAGCCATATTCCCTGCCAGGAGCCAACATCAATTGTTTTAGGTAACTACTGAGTTACTTCCCTCCCTCATATCTTCCAAGATAATGCCTTAGACCACAGAATCAGAGAACTTTAGAGTCAGCAGAGGCAACAGAGGTCATCTAGACCAACCCTCTACTCTGATAATAACAACGATGTACATTTAATTTATTTATTGTTTTAGAGCTGAGGCTATAACCTGAAGTCCATAAAGTATTGCAATATTATGATAACTGAATTTTGATAGAATTTGTTTTATTTGTAATCCTACATATTTTATTTCATGAATTTAAAAACATTATTCTGAGAAAGGGTCTATAGGCTTCAGGTCGTGAACCCCTGATTCAAAGGCTACAGAGCTCTACAACATAACTGACAGATGGTTCTCTGGCTCCTAGCTGAAATCTAGAGCTCACTGTCTCTTGAGGTAGTCCATTCCACTTTTGGATAGCTCTCATTGTTAGAAAGTCCTAATGACAGGACCTAATGAAGTGCAAGGAGAGAGCTTTTGCAAAATCATACCCATATATGCAAAGTGCTGGTCATATCTAAAATAAGTACAACAACCTTAACGCCAAAACAACCCTGATATCAAAAGGGGAAAAAAAAGGTTAGCTTTACTGAAGTTTTGTAAAAGCAATATCCTTTGTCAGACCATCTAGTGACACCTTCCTTCCTTCCTTCCTTCCTTCCTTCCTTCCTTCCTTCCTTCCTTCCTTCCTTCCTTCCTTCCTTCCTTCCTTCCTTCCTTCCTTCCTTCCTCCCTTCCTTTCTTCCCTCCTTCTTTCCTCCCTCTCATTTCCCATCTCCATCACCCCTTTCAGCTTTTGGGGAAATCTCAGTCTCCATCATCCCAGGAGAAACCACTCTGGGTAATTTAACCTCTGAATGCAAATAGCAGCCTTCCTTGCTGAAAATCATTTTGCTGTTCCAGCTGAGAATCCAGAGTGAAGCAACCCTGGGAGCTTAAGGAGAAATAGCTTGAATGAAATCATCACCCAGCAGGAGCCTTCCTGGCTCTGAGATCATTTGGGCAATTGTTTTTTTAGATTGTGATAACAACCTCTGAGGCCCCTAGTTTGGTATTGCTGGGTTGGGGAGGGGAAGAAGGGGCGGAAGGTTAGACAGACCACCTGGTCTCCTGCCATACCAACTGTCAGCTGCTGTCAGCACCCAGGACACAGGCTCTGTTCTTAACCTAGTGGATCTCCCATATAGCTGCTTAGGGGCCTGAGTAAAGGTGGGGGTTGGGAGGGAATCTCCTATATCAGAGAAGAGACTTTCATGAACCAGTCTTCTCTCTGGCCAAATGCCATGGGGAGAGGAGATTAAGGGTTTGGAGCTTCCCACAGGGATTCTCCTTTTTCCTCTAGACTCTAACCATTTAAGAATAGTACCTTTTACAAACCCTTGTGCCCCTTTTAAAGCTACCTACCTCATTGTGTGCAATGAGGATATGCACATGTTTTATACATGTCTCTAGTAGTTAGAAATTTCAATAATTTAGCTCTGTTTTCCATATGTGTTTTCTGGGTTTCTTTTCTTTCTTTAGCCTTTTCTCTTAAAATCTCATATGCTTATCCCTTTTCAGCCTCCCTTCCCTGTATCAGTCCTGGGTAAAATTGTAAAATTTGTTATTAATATTCACAGTACCCCATCTTCTCTCAGTACTCTTTTCCTGCTTTTAGCTTGCCTCCAGATCTCCATCAAACGCCCTTGGCAGAGGGCATCATAATATCCTAGAGCAGGGGCAAACCTGTGGTCTCAAGGTCACATGTGCACCTCTAGGTCCTCAAGTGTGGCCTTTTGACTTGGATTTGATTGAATAAATATCTTCAAATTTGACTGTATCCAAGTCAAAGGGCTACACTTGAGGACCTAGAGGGCCACATGTGGCCTTGAGGACTCAGGTTCCCCACCCCTGTCTTAGAGGAAACCATGTGTAATATTCAACTACTAGTGAATTCTCAGTGAAGGTGTTCATCTGATGGACTTAAAACTGAAAGCTTTTAAAAAAAACAAAAGCTTTTAACAATTAACAAAATTGGAGGCTTCTACTTGGGAGACAACTTGGTGTAGTGGACAGAATGCTGAATTTCAAGTTAGAAAAACCTGAATAGAAATCTGACCTCAGCCTTTTACTGGCTTTATAGTCATGGAGAAGTTTTTTAACCTCTCTGTGCCTCAGTTCCTCAGCTATAAAATGAGGGGTCCCTTCTAGCTCTTTACCTATGGATAGTCAAGCTGATTGGGAAAACATTCTAGGATGCTTGAAATCATTTTATAAAGGTGGCTGCCTGCTCTGCCTCGTAGTAAAGCAGAGCCAGCTTGATAGTACACTAGAGAACTGGGCTTGGAATCAGGAAGAGCTGAGTTCACATCCAGCCTCAGACATTTATCTGGGTGACCCTGGGCAAGTCACTTAACCTCTGTTTGCCTCATTTTCCTCAACTGTAAAATGAGGATAATAACAGCATCTACCTCATCGGGTCATTGCGAGGATCAAAGAAGAGAATACTTGTAAAGTGCTTATTACAGAGCCTAACATGTAGGATGTGACATATAAATGCTTCTTCCCTTCTTTCAGTCCTCCTCCCCTAAGTTCCTTGTACTAAGTCTTTTGGGAGATTCATAAATTAGATCACTCCTTACCCCTTGAAAGCAGGAAAAGATTGTTTCATTTTTGTCTTGGTACCCTTTGCAAAGTGGCTGACATATAGTAAGCTCTTAATAAATGCTTGTTGATTTATTGTTTGAATGTTGAAATTTTCTTTCCCACACTCACTGTCTAGCTCTCCAAGATGGTTACTGTGTTTAAGAATTCCTGTTCTAATACTCTCTTCTGTCTCTCTTTCTCTCCCCATCCCCCATTCATAATGGTAAAACCTTCAAAAGGGGATAGATGACCTCCAAAATCATCCATCCCCTTATCTTCAGGAAAGACTTCCCTGAAACCATCTTGGACATTTGAAAACCTGCCTTTGGCTAAGCCCATTCTGTCATTTACCAGCCTTCTCCAACAAAATATCTTTCTCCAAATCCTCGCTTTCCTTAACTTTCAAAACCACTTCCTCCTAGTCTGTCTCCAGTGGAGGTATAGAACTCATTTCTTGACATATACTAACAATTGTCTTTCTTGAAAACTGCTTTGAACTAGTCCTTGTCCTTGGGGTTAATGATTTCACTTCTTTAACCTTTCCTATTAGGGACTGTATTCCAGTAGCAAACAGAACACAAATCAGTGGACTAGAGTGAGAGCAGAACATGCTTGTATTGTGAATATGGTAAGCAGTAAAACCTAGAATCTCACAGGGAGAAAGGTCATCAAGCTCAGCTCTCACCTATAACATAAAATAAACCTTTTTCTCTACCAAAATGCCAAGTATTTCTTTCCTAAGAAATGGTGATTTTTTTTAAAAAAGAGCATTAATGCCATAAATAATGAGAATCATTCTACAACCTGGTATCTGAGACTAGAAGACAGAATAGATTGGATTTGGGAATCAGAGGACTTGGACCTGGGTTCAAATTCTTTCACTTTCTACTTAGCGAGCTTAGTTGAGTCATTTCCACTCTCTGGGCCTCAGTTTCCTTATTTGTAAAATGAGAGGCTTGGTCTATATGACCTTTGAGGCCCCTCCAGCTCTAGATCTCTTAATGTATGAAACCTGAAGAGGAAAAACATTTCATCTGGGTTGCAAAGAATTCCCTACCTCAATATCCCAGATCTATTGGAACTCAACCTCTCTCCAATCACTTCCTGAGAGAATTTAAGCTTCAGGAAGGCAGAGACTGTTGCATTTTTTTTCCCTTTTTACCCCCCAGCACATAGTACATGCCAGGTACATAGTGGGTACTTAATAAATGCTTGCGGATTGATTGTGGGGAGCAAGAATTGCTATACCCCACCAGTCATTTTTTGGGGACAGAGAAGTCAAATCACTTTAGGTCATTTCTGTAAATCTCTCATTGAGAGTGAGAAATAGCAGCTCTTAGTTCCACCAACCCTTTTCTTGCTCTAGGCTGTGTGCCCCACCCAAAGCAGTCTGGGGAAAAAAAGGAGGAAGAAAGTTTTCCCTCATTAGGGCTCCCCAAATTCCTATAGACTCTAAATGGAGAGAAAATTTAAAAAAGAAATAGGATTATTCTGTCATTACTTAGACTCTAGAACAGGGGTTTTCAACCAGCAGTCCATAGATAGACTTCAGAGGGCCCATGACCTTTCATGGGAAAAATATTTGTTGACTATTTCAATATAATCTCTTTCCTTTGTAGTCCCATGTATTTAATATTATTCCTTTAAAAACATTATCCTGAGAAGGGAACCATAGACCTCTCCGGACCATTAAAGCTTAAGATATAACAAAGACATTTTTTTAAAATGAAGACCCTCCCCCCCAATGCCTTCCTGAGAAACTTGCTCCTTATAATTCTCATTCATTGCAGAGCTTCAGGAGAATGAGAACAGTAAAGAGAAGGCTTGGGGCAGCTAGGTGGTGCAGTGGATAGAGCACAGGCCCTGAAGTCAGGAGGATCTGAGTTCAAATCCGGCCTCGGATCAAACACTCGACACTCACTAGCTGTGTGACCCTGGACAAGTCACTTAACCGAAATTGACTAAAAAAAAAAATAGAAAAAGAAAAGGCTCCTTGTACTCACCGTCCCGTATAGTCTTCCTTTACTGTTCATGGCCACAAAAAGAGCGCTCCTTACCCCAAACAGACTCACTACACCTCGGTCCACTGTTGAAATTTCCAAAAGACCTAAGTAAAAAGAAGAGTGATAACATTAAACTCATAGAATGCTCCAGGGGGAGAGGCCCTTAGAGGCCCCCTACTCCAGTGCCTTATTTGACTGAAAAAAAAATTGAGACCTAATGAGAAGGAGCTTGGGGCAGAACCAGAACAAGGACAGGATCTCTGGACTGTTCACTTCCCACTGTATCTTTTTGCTTCACTGGGACTTGTGTTAAGCAAGGAGGTATTTCAGTGTGAAGATCTGGCTAGAACCTCTGAATTTAGGGGCTTATGGAGGATATCTAATTCATGCTCCTGCCTTCAAGATTGGTCTGAATCTCAGTCTTCCAGAAAAGCTGCATACGTTAATCACCCTTCCGCCTCATTCTCTCCCCAATCCCATCCAGTTCCCCCTCTTTTTCATACTGACCTCTGGAAACAGAGTGTGGAGTAGTGGATCAAAAGTCCAGCTTCAAGCCCTACCTCTGACTGGTAACTCTGGGCAAGTCCCTTAATCTCTCACTGCCCAATGCAACTCCCTAAAACTCTTGGGTTATACAAGAGGTGCAGCCCTGAATTGCTAGAGAGAATTTCCTCAATGGAATTCCCTAGACAGAGGAGACCATCAGTTCATTTCCCCATCCGTAGCAGCATCCCTTAGCGCCAGCTCTTTCCTGTGTCTCAAAGCTCTTGGCAATCCAGAAGCAGTCTAACCCAGATAGTTCAACTATCTAGGCAAGCACAATTATTGTACCTAATTTAATTTGTAGTCAAACAAAATCAATTCTTATTAGGAGAGGATCCACCAGAAGGAGAGTGGGTCAAAGTCTGCGCCTGCCTCATTTACATTTAAAATCTAGCTTCTCCCAAGACATCACCCGCCCCAAAGAGCCCTTTTCTTGAATCAGTATAATTGTAGGAGAAAGATCACTGCAATGAATCAGGAGCCTTGCCAGCCGTGTGACCTTAAGCAAGTCATTCCTTTCTGTGTCTCAGTTTTCTCATCCCTAAAATAAGGGAGTTAGACTAGATATCTAAAGTCTTTTTAAAGATTTGTAAGGTTTAGAACTGGAAGACAACTTAGACATCATCTGTTCTACTCTCTCATTTTACAGATGAGCAAACCGAGGCCAAGAGGGATGAAATAGCTTGCTGGACACAACTGACTAGTAGTCAGGGACAACTTCCAACTCCAAGGTTATATGAATTGACTGGTCTGATCTCAGACGGGTGTGCTATAATCCTTAAAGCTTGGTTTTCTCAGTCTGTTCCCCTACCCCCAGCTCCTGGAATCAGGATAGTTGTCCCTCCCCCTCTCCCACATCTACCACCAGCATAACATTTTAGGAAGAAGAAATGGGTGAGAAAAGAGGAAGGGTGTAGGATAGGGATTTTGGAAGACCCTTGGCTAGAAATTGCAGACTGCTTTCCTTTCCTCCTCTGTGCAGCAATACCCTTTTTTAAAAAATAAGCTAGGCTCTAATTTGGTCTGAGTATTCCTGACACATACTCCCTTATGGTTTCTAAAACTGAAGGAACTCTAGGGAGCTTAATAAAGTAATAGACAGGACTTTGCTAATCCTGTGGAGATAATTCGGAATGATTAAAAAAAATAATAACTCCCATAGTATTTTACAAAGTGCATCCCTCACAATCACTCCATGAGGTAAGTAGTGCAAGCAATATTATCCTTATTTTGCACTCAGTTGAGTAAACTGAATATCCGTAGCTATGCAGCTAGTAAGTGTGGGAGCCAAGATTCAACTGCAGTCTCTGCCCATCTCCCAGGCCCAGGCCAATATTCTTTCTCCTTCGCTTCACTGTTCTTCAGGTGCTCAGAGAGATGATAGTAAGAGGATCCTTAGCCAATCACTTGCCACCACAAAGGGTCAGACTTGAATGGGGGGCAGTGGGAAGGGAAGTGGAAGAGGAATGACAAGGAGGACCCCTCCACACTCTTTTTATAATATCTGTAAGCCAGACTTCCACACTTCAGCAAGCTTTCTTCCCTTGTCCTACCATAAGGGCACACTTCATTTCCCTACCCTTTTCTCCTAGGGTCCTTACTCCCCAACCACCCCACCAGAGGCCACTGCACTTACTGTAGGGATTCTCCTCGTGGGTCCCACTGATCCTGCCATCTGGGGGCACCTGGAGGTGAAAGCCAATGCCCACGTTGCAATACAGTCTCCTCTGCCTCTTGATCCCCAGCAAATAGCCACTCTCCCAGTTACTGCGGGATAGCCCACCAGGCAGTCCAGCTTGGGGCTGGGACCCCAGCAGTGTCCCCCAGCCCCTTTCCAGGAGCACAGGGTTGGCCAGGCCACCCACCAGCGGCCAGGGTACCAGCATGCCAGCCAGAACACCCAAGAAGATGAAAGCCCACAGCGTGCCCCCGAGGCAACCTCCTCCTGCAGGCATAGTGATGAGCAGCTTCTGTGGGAAGGCCATCCACCTTGCCTCCCAGGCACGTGGTCAGAATTAATGGCCCTAAAAATACCGCCCTTCTTGTTTTTCTCCCCTCAGCATGGCCGCAGGGGCTTATTTTTGGAAGGCAGACTACAGCTCCTGTCATGAAACCAAAACCTGCCTCAGGCACTCGGGCTGGGAGCACAGGGACCCTGGCTGAGCCTCTGAGGATGGTGGAGACCATGGCTCAGAGACTGTCTCCGGCTCCCTCGCTCTATCTGCTTGGAGCACAATTATATTTTATTTGACCTATCTTTAGAGTTCAGAAACCCAGCCCTCCTCTATACCCATCATCACCCTGACGTCAACTGGCCGAGGTCACTTATCCAGAGCTGTAACATTAACCTGCTCTTCGGCCCTGGCTCCCACCACCCTTCCCTCCCCCAAGGGACGTTGAGAGCCAACAGACACTGTCATGCATGTGAACTATGAGGCTGGAATGAAGCTTGAAGGAGCATCCCTGGAAAGGAGATAGTTGGGGGGGGGTGGGGAGGGTTTGGTAAGCAGGAAGAGAAAGAAGCAGTGAAGGACCAAAATCGCATAGTATGGCAAAAATCTGGCTGCTTATTTCAAGGTGAAAGGATTTGAGGGAGGGTTAGAGTTCATCCCTGGGCCATAGGAAGGCTGATGATGGTTGTGGCCCTAAGTAGGGCATCAATGAGGAATTTTCATCACAAAAATTGGGAGGGGGGAAGGATGTTTATGGGTTAAACTATCCATTTCCCAGGGGAGAAAAGGCTCTATCTAAAGGCCCTGAAGAACTAAACCTACAGTATAGGGAAAAGTAGAGCCTTGGGTGATAATGGACATCCCTGAGAGTAGAGCGATATATGCCTAGTGATTGTGAAGAATCAGACAATTCTAAAAAGTGGAAGGAGGGACACTACTAACTTTGGATATTTTGCCCAGTGGCTTGAATTGACAGTGACTTTGTCCAGCATAGTTTGCAATCCCTCTGTTATACTAGAATAGCTATTCTCTGATGAACTAATCTAGCCCACTCCCTTGACTACATAATACATCTGGATGACTGTATCCTCATCCTTAAGTCTCTCTCTGCTTCACACTACAGGCAATAGTCCCAGGTCCTTTTCACTCTGTCTTCAGATTTCTCCATATTTGACTCCACTAAACCTCCTGGTCTTACCTAAACCCGAAGTCCGTTATTCCCTACTTATATTTTTCAACTATTCTTTGGATAAACTTGAACATAAAAATATTTTCTAAAGGCTGAAACATCCTAATAGGCAATTACCAGATTAAGTTAGACTGTTCAATTTAGTAGAAAAAGCATTGGACTGGGAGTCAGAAGACCTAGGTTCTAAGTAGGTCTATCACTAAGTAACTATGTGACCTTAGGCAAGCTATTTTGTGTCTCTAGGCCTCAGTTTTTCAGCTATAAAATGAGAAGACTAGAAATTAACTGAAATAGCCACAATAAATTCCAGATTGATCAACCATCTAAATTTTTTTTAAACATACCTTTAAAAAATCTAGAAGACAATGCACTATTATATCATTTACAACTGTGGAGAGGAGATAAAGCCTCAACAGGCTTAGGGGAAATTATAATAATTAGATGATTTTGATTATATAAAAAAAAATAAAGTGACTACGCAACAAAAAGCAATGTAGCTAGAATGAAAAAAGAAAGAAAAAAACTGAGAAAAATTACATTAAACACCTCTGATAAAAGTCTGACAACCAAAATGTATACAGAAAAACTTGTATGTGGGAGGGGAGAGGCATTAATATCTGGGGAGTCAGGAAAGGCCTCGTGTAAGAGATGGCATTTGAACTAACCTTTAAAGGGATTCTAAGTTGCAAAAGTGAGAGTCTGGGCATGGGGGACATCTATGCAAAGACACAGAGAAGAGATGAAATTTTGTGTGTGAGGGACAGTCAAAAGTCTTGTTTGACTGGATTGAAGAATGAAAGACAATAATATGTAATAAACCTGGCAAGGCAGATTGGCACTGAGGTACGATGTGCCTTACATGCCAGACAGAAGAGTTTGCCTTTGAACCTACAGGTCAAAGATATGTTCCCTAAAGAAGAAATAAAAATTTTCAACAGTTCAAGATTTTTAATAGAAGAATATCAAAACAACTTTGAGATGCCACTTGATACCCCTCACGTTAGCAAAGTTAATAAAAAAGACAATAAAATCCAGTGCTTGTGCAGCTATATTAAATACACATGGGGTTGCCAGAAGGGTTCATAGAGGAGATGGTACTTGAGGAATCTCTTCATTTTACAGAAATATTAGATTACCAGGCCAGCTAATAACTCAATCAACGTTTAAGTGCCAAACATAAGGCCCTGGGCTAGGTATCTGAGGTACAAATTTTAAAAAAGTGATGCAGTCTATGCTCTCAAAGAGCTTACATTCAAATGGGAGTGGAGAGAGATAGAACAGGTACTTAGGTATCAAAATGATGCAAGGTCAAGGGTGAAGGAGACAAAGGGGAGGTCCTGATAAAATACTCTAACTAATTTTAAGATGAGAATAATTCAGCTCTAGCCATTAGGAAGGGTTCATAGAGGAGGCGGTACTTGAGTTTAAATTCAAAGAACCATTGTTCTATAATACACCTGACACATAAGATTAACATTTCTATTATATTTAATTGTCTTTTATAGTATTGTTTCTACAATGAAGATCTCTAGGAATATGTCTCTTCCCCTTCCAGTCCTTAGCAGCATTGCGGGAATATGGGCTCCAGGAGGTGAGAAGGAGGGTTAGATACACCTGGGGCCTTTGTAAACTACTATATTGACTATACAGCTACATGAGAGAAGGCATGCCTGTAATAATAGCTCACATTTATGTAACACTTCATAAACATTATCTCATTTGATTACCTCTCCATCTCAAAGAGGCAGCTAGAGTAAATGTGGTGATTTCCATTTTACAAAAGAGTAAACTAAGGCTCATGGGGAATAAATGACTCTCCCAAGGTTATGCAATCAGTCAATAAACACTTATCAAATGCCTCTGTTGTGCCAAGCATAGTGCTAAGCACTGAAGATACCGAGAAAGAGAAAAAAGAGGAGCTCACAATCTCATGGCGGAGACAACACGCAAATAACTGTACAAACAAGTTATATGGGGTCAATATGAAGTAATCAACAGAAGACAGACACTAGAATTTAGAGGGATAGGGAAAAGGTTTCCTGTAGAAGGTTGGATTCTAGCTGGGACTTGAAAGAAAGTAAATAATGGAGCAAGGTCTTCTGACCTCCAAATCTAATTTCTTTTCCATTACCAGGGGCTCTTAATCTAAGGTCTCTAAATTTGGTGTTTGTTTTTTTTTAAAAAATATTTTGATAACTGTTTCAATATGGCCTGCTTCTTTTGTATGTATTTTATCATACGCACTCAAAACATCATAGACTTCACTATGATGCCCCCAAAAGTTAAGAACCCTTGCATTACACAACAGCCTCCGAAATCTCTGTTAAGTTAAGGGCAAATAGGTTTCCAAATGTTATGAAGTAATGGGAAAAAAGGGGAGGGGGAGAGTGATAACCTTCAAGCCAAAAGAAAAGGGAGAAGTGAATACAAAATAATAAAAAGCATTTTCTAAGGGTTTATTAGGTGTTAGGCACTGTGTTTAGCACTAAGGATACAAACCGAAAAAAAAAAAAGGCTGTCCTTAAGAACTTACATTTTAGTAGAGGGAGACCACTTCCATAGAGGAGTGGTGGTCATGCATGCAGAGCTGATTTGGTTTGGGAAGTTACCTCTACAAGAGTGGAGTCAGAGGGCATTTGATTGACTCTTCTCCCTGAACAGTTGTGTTGATTTGATCACTACTCTCAGATTAGGGGTGGGGGGTAAGGGAAGCTGAGGATGCCCTAGAGTTGGAGAATTCATGGTCTCAGGGAGAGTCTTGAGGTATGGCATGAAGTTGACTGGAGAGCAGTGATGGGAATACTCAGACTCATATTTTGTGCATGGATCATTTGGAAGCTGAGCATTCATGAGCCATGGACTGTTTCAATTTGGTTATGAGTTTCGTGAAAGATGATTTCACTCTCACATCTAACAGGATACTTCTGCCTAAGTTTTTCCCAAATGATGTTTGCATTATATAAATGTTTGACCTCACTATATAATAGAAATAATACTGGACTTTGGATAAGAAGAGCTGGGTCCCAGTATTGACTCTGCCATTGATTAGTCTTGTAATCTTATGCAGTCATACTGGTGTTGTTTGGAGTTGCTGGGAACCCCAATGACATGATTTGGGGTTTCTGGGAACCCTGAAATGTCAGGGTACAAGACAATGTCCTCCTAGAATGAATTCACACGCTCAAACCTTCTTCCAGTCAAATGACAAGGTTTATTGTAATGCCAATAGAAGCAGGCTAGATTCCTTGTGAATCTGTAATTTAATGGGGGTAAGACTGATATTTATATACAAAAAAGGACAGTGAAAAGATCTTGATGGGATTAGAGAGTTGTAAATAACCTGGGGTGGGCCAGGTGCAATAGTGAAAGGAGTGGGTCATAAGCAACTGTAAAAGGACCGTCAAGTATCTAGGTGGTGGGCTAGGAAGAGCCAGATGTCCTGGGCAAGATGCCAGTGATCTGAGCTGCTGAAATGTATGGGAAAATTCAGGGACTGGGTAGCTTTCAAAAATGTGGTCTTTTCCTGTTAGGGTTCCAGGTCCCATCATCCTATCAATACAATTTTAAATTTAGAGCTTTGAAGGGAGCAATCTTAGTTCAATATTCTCATTGATCAAATGAAAAAAGTGAAGCCCAAACATGGGAAGTGAGTTGGGTAGGTTATACAGTAGCAAGTTACAGAGCCAAAATTAAAACCCAAGTCTTTTGTGCTTGTTATAATGCTCATTCCAGGGGCAGCTAGGTGGTGCAGTGGATAGAGCACCGGCCCTGAAGTCAGGAGGACCTGAGTTCAAATCCATTCTCAGACCAAACACTTTACTAGTTGTGTGACCTTGGGCAAGTC